AGCCCACTACATCATCGCCTTGCTGAATGTAGTCCCAGAACGCGCTTGTTTGCGAAGCGAACGTGTAAGGACCAGATCGTTCGTTGAGGTATAGATCGACATCGGATTGCGGCGGGTTGGAATAGTCGTAAGCATACGAGGCAATCTCGTCAGATTGAAGCTCGATGAACGTGTTTGGGTTATCGAAGACACCGTTGCCGACGGCAGTGTTGTTGATCCAGTCCTGGGAAGGAACTGTAACATGCCCGTTCTTCGAGAGGTTTGTCAGGGTCGCTGCCTCGCCGATGCCAGACCACATCAACAGCTGAGGGCTGAGGAGAGCACCGGCTGAAGAGATAACCATGCCGCCTTCTTTGATGCAGATGCTGGAAGAGTTCTCTGCTCCGTTGGTCTGAACGTCGACGCCAGTTGCTACGCCGCCATCGCGACGAACACGCAAGACTTTAGTGCCGGTTTGGAAGGCAAAGTTCGAGCGCGCCAAGGCGGACTGCAGATAGGTCTTGACCGGGCCACTCCTTTGCCCGTTCTCGTAGTACCAGATCGGGTGACCGAACACCTTGGTCTTGCTATGGTTCTCAATGCCATCGTTCAGGCCGACCTCTGCGAAACCCGCGCCATCAACGAGCCACTGCTTCGCAGCATCGTAACCGCTCTGCAGATACCGCTTGCCGTCTCTTGAGGGACTGTCTGTGTTTGGTTGTTTCGCTCGGACCTTGTTGATTGCGCATTGCATGTCGTCATTCTTCCAGCCCTGGGGGAAGTAGCGATCCCAATCGCTCGCGGGTGGCTGGAAGAACAGTCCAGCGTTGATTGCGGAGTTACCACCGACGGTGCACCCTTGAAACGCGTTGACGACATCAGACGCGCATGTCAAGTTTCCTTCACCGGAATTCGAGAAGATGGACTTGTACAGCCCGGGAACATCAACGCGACTGAGTTCAGTTCCGTTTAGCCATTCTGGGCGAGCACGACCGCCGGTCACGTAGTACGACGGGCCGCCTTGCTCTAGGAGTAGAGTCTTCTTGCCGGCTTCGCTCATGCGGTCCGCTGTAACGATACCCGCTGGACCAGAACCTGGAGGATGTCAGTTTTGATGCCAGATTTCGGATGCAGATCTTCGAGCTTACCAACGACAATCACATCCCATTCACCCCCAGCGCATTGCTCTGCCGCAGCATAGCTCGCAAACGCAGCGACCGGTAACAGGACCTTCAACATATGAGTCGCTACCATGATGCCTTCTCTTTGATTTCGGAGGTGTTGTTTGACCTATGTTGCGAGGCTATAGCTCCTGCCGTGACAAGGCCGAAGGCTGACTTTAAGCATTCCATCTCACTCTCAGCTCCTAGCAAGTACGCTTACCTAGCCTCGAGCTCTAAAGCACGGTGATGTACAAGTACCACCATGCTAAGCAAATTTGCAGCGTGAAGCTGGAGCCGACATCACCGAACACGAAGAGGTATGACGCCGTTTACGGGGTGGAGCGTGCGCAGGCCTAAACCATCGCCCAGATGCGGGCGCTTTACCTCTTCGCACGAACTATGAGCGCATAGATCTCGCGCCGGTCGATGGCCGTAGAAGCTTAAGAATCATCGCTCCGACGGATTGGGTGCGTGGCGGTCGTTGCGTGGTTATTTTGGGACATCGGCGGCGAGCTGAAGGTGTGGCGAGGTTGCATCGTGAGGGGTCCGGCCTGTCAGGAAGAAGCCCAATGTTAGTGGAAGGTGCGGCTGAGTCTACAACTTTGCGTCAGTCATCCAGCTTCTGAGTCCAGTATTTTCTTCTTTCGACCCCTCTGTTACTCGCATCGCAGACGGCGAGATTGCGTGAAAAAGCTTGGGAAGCTTGTCGCATGCAACCTGCCCGCTCGGGCCGCTCGGAAGGATTGATTGTGGGACCTTCGTATGGGGCAAGGGCTGCCTGGGTAGACACCGACGCACACATGACATGTTGACGGAAAGCAGCTATCTGGGGACTTCAAAAATATGTTGCAATACGGGTGGTGTCGCCTCTTGTTTTCGACTCAGTCATATGCAGAAACAGTCAACGTGGAGTCATGCGACGCACGGTTTAGTATCACCACTGACAGAGCATCAATCGACACATACGGACATGACGCAGCAATCGTTCTTCCTTCATATTCGCCATACATAGCATATGGTCACCATCGCATACATGAGTTATTCGAAACGATGACAACATAGCGACCAGAGGGTCTCGAGAACTACGGGTTTGGCTTCGGAGTCATGATGCAGTATACAACTTCATCGTTCGCGAGGCTCGCTCCATGCAACTCGCATACTACTTCCAAAAGCGAACGCTTAGTTCACGATTCCTATACATTCTCAAGCGCCGGTCTTTGAGCGGCAACCGATATTTCCAGAAATTGAATCGTCGATATGGATGCACACATCATCACTGACGCAGACGAACTTCGGAACAACATCCATGTGAGGTTCGACTCTTCTACCCTCGAGGTAGCTTACCCCGATGAAGAGGCTGAAATGAGAAGTAGATCCCCTCCTACCCGGACAAGGACTGCTCAGCTAACGAGTCGCAGCTCTTGTCCGAGGGCTCCCTATACGCACCGGCGCTTATACTGTTCGTATTTGCCCGTACCATCCCCACGAAAACATGTTCCACGCCGATGTCGTCGACAGCAGCCGCGAGACAATCTTCGAGGGCAGACCAGAAATCTTAAAGACGGGTCGAGATTTAGCTATGAGAGGATTGCTTGATGTGCTTCACGTCGAGGACAACATGCACCAGGCCGAGCGCCGTCGCGATAGATTGAGAAAATTGACTAAAGGCATCCACTATGATATGACAATTCGACCGAGCAGGGCAGGCTGGCAGGCAGAGATTACAGGGGAAGATCGGGGGGGAAATAGGTGTCCGAAATCAACTATGTGGTCTGGCGACGAGGAGCTCGAAGCCAGCGAATGGGTCTTGAAGTTGATAAAGCTTGAACTCAAGAAAACAAAGGAAGAGATGTTGAATCAGCAACGACAGAACTGTGCAAGCAGGAGCTTCGAGAATGTTGGTGCCGGCATGGAAAAGGATGGACCTTAGCACAGTCAGACTCTCGGACTTGTTCCTCACTGACTCTACAGCGACACGTAGTGACTGCGTTCTCGTGGAGTCACATCTGTGTATATAGCTCACTCAGAGTAACCTTTTTACCTCTCGCTTCTCCTTGTTTCTTCCGTTACCATTATATCTCCTGGCCGACTCCTACATCTGACCAACTTACTCGTATGCGAAATACCCCGAAGAAACCAAAATGGGTTCGCGATACAACAGATATCCCACCGCGGAGAGCGCACCCACATTCGCCATCGAGGAACGGCCCATGGACGAGTCTTATACGATCAAGGAAGACGATTATCGTGTAGATATCAAGGACTTAACGCGTGAGGCCTTCAGATACCTTAAGCAGGGTCGGAGCTGATTCAAGTAGTTCTGCTTACAAAGCTGTTCGGCTCGACATCTTCAATCAGCTATTGTGTACTCGTCGAGCGACGTCAGGATCTGGACGGCGGGTACATTGCTACGGTTGTTGATGCGAAGAAAAACATTCTTCCGTACCAGTCTAGAGCTCTACGTTCCAGATACGCCGAAGAAAGTGAAGATCGGGCTGTCTCTGGATTGGTCGATAATGTGCAAATCTTGGTGGTGCAACGTGACGTCGAAGAGTACGAGAAGAAATTGAAAGAAGACGAACGCGCTGTCGACAATTACAAATTCGAAGTACGAGAGACTCATCGTTCAGGCATGAAATGGGTAGTCATTATCACGCGTACACCGAAAAAGAAGTTGGGAGACTCACGTACTGAAAAGAGATATTGTGAGTCAGAGATCAAAGCATGGGAGTGTGCTCGAACATGCGCTCAAACAGACTATACCCTGATCGTGGGTGGTGGATATAAGACTCTCGTAAGTGTCTAGAATTGGTTGATCAGGCATTTTAATGAGGTCTATTAGCCGAAGAAAAAGCTTCTGTTCGGCATCCATGTGGAGCAGGCAACAGGTCATAGACGAAAGAAGCCGCAGTAACTTACATTGGCCGGGGGGGAGGAGAGCTCTTCAGTAGGGCCTGGGGTTGGGATCATCATTCCACTCGAATGTTGGACTGGAATTGAGACAGCTACCTAATGTCAACATGCATCTCGTCGACTATTTCTAGACGTCAATGTATTACAATGTGTCGTATGTTCCATCTGATCCACTACTTACAGGATTGTCGTCAGCCTAGATGTTTCCGTGTGCGCTTGGGGCCGGTCTATGAGCGCTTCACCTCATTTCAGGTCCATGTAAAGAGGTGGTGAGACTACTTCTTAGATGTGAGATCGAGCCACCGAAGGATCATTGAGAAGTCTTCAAGGATAGGTCATCAAAGAGAAGGAGAAGCGAAGACTATGTATTTCGGGGCCGAGCAATGGATCATCTCCCTATCGACTGCAGCAGCACAAATGCTGCTGCCTATTCGAGCGAGCGAGGGAGCTATCTTTTACTTTCTGCACGGACTTCAGTTTGGACAAACGCCTCCTCACTCTCACCTCTGACTCAACCTCGATCTCTCTTGCTTTCTGTGTTGAATCGTTCTCATAACCTCAAACCCGGCTGCCTGAGAGCCTTCGATACACTGTCACCATGATGCCACTCGCGGGATTGAGACTCAACACCGTTGTCCAGCGTGCAAGCGTTCCTCGGGAGCTCACTGAAAGAGCCAAGATGCCACCGTCAGAGCCTCGCGCAACCTCTGAACCTGTCCTCCACCAAGCACAGTAAAGTCACCCGTAGCCTCTTGGTAATACAACACTGACATGTCTGGAACCTCTAGAGTGGCGATGCTCGTATCTCCGACCACCACCAAGTCGACCGATCGCTCGAGCGAGCTACCAGATACCGAAGATCCAGATCACGTAGCAGCGCCTCAGCTCATCGTAAAGCTGAAGCACCGGGCTACTTCGAGCACATCAGCAACAACAACGACCATCATGGACAGCGGCGACGCAGTTTCTGAAGGTCAAGATGGTGACAAGGGCTCTAAGGTCCAAACATCGGCGAGCATGGCGAGCACGGTCAAAGAGCCGGAGAATGAGACTTTGGAGAAGGCAAGGAACAGCTACGTGAGCATCATGTCTTCATGACCATCCATTTTATGATGCTAAGCCCATCCCAGGTACATGCTCTGCTCAGTCACAAGCGTAAACGAGGCGAAGACGAGGTCTCTGAGCTGGAGGACCTGCGAAAGAAGTTCGCGCGACAAGAAAAGGAAAACGCCAGCCTTCGTCAGGACGTCGAGAAGTCCAAGTCTGACAGCGAGCTGCTGAAGGAGCTGAAGGGGCGGTGGAAACACTTCGCGGCGAGGATCAAGAGCTATGAAGATACCATCATGAAGTACGCGAAGTCCGCCGAAGCCTGCAAGCCGATCATTCTGGACGCTATCGAGAGCAAATGGTACGCAGAGCTAGGCGGTCATGACGACAAGGAACGCAAGTTGCTGGCGGCCGAGAAGGCTCGTGCGGATTACAAGGAGCTGTTCGAAGTTTCAGACACCGCACTATCAAAGAAATGATGAGCGGGCATGATGAGGCGGGCAAAAGATGGGGTCGAGTATGATTTGCACATAGCCCAGAGGGGATGTATAGTATGAAGGCACGCCAGGCAGAGATCGAAAGGCCCTCGTAGCGGGCGCTCTCTCTCTCACATCGATTACGAATGTATCCGGTAGCCTCATGCAAATGCTCCACCCGTGATCATCACATCGTTCTCTTCTCGCTCGCCAAATCCTGCTATCCGTGATTCGACCGGGCACGCGGTATCGATGGTCTGCTAGAAGTCATTATCCTGCCACGGGTATGTCTGCGCGCTTGCAAAACGATCGTGTACTACGGCTGCGAGTGCGGTCTGCGAGATGATCGGTATCTCGGCTACATTTATGGCTCGGTCTTTAGAGGAAGCTTGGGCGATGAGCCCTCTACCGTCCACTTGTCTAGCACATAGTATGCATTAGGTAGTTGCCGACTGTAGTCCATGCCATGCCCCATGACAAGGAAGCGGCAACTGTGTACTACAGGAGCATTTACAGCGGCGCGTTACTACTCTAGCATGTGCGGAGACCAAGACCCAAACGGCAGGTCGTCTTCACGGTAGTGCGTACCCGGTGCAGGAGAGCAAGCTCCTCAAGCCTATAGCGACAGTGGCTGTCCAACGCGCCTAGCCGAAGCATCGACCCACGAGAACAGCGACATGGCTCCTCATATGTCCCGAAAACTCTCCTAGGCGGGTTGTGCTGGCCAGCCTGCGCGGAAGTTGACATTCTGGTCCAGCTGCACTGTCGGCTGCCGAACCGACACAAGCTTCCCGTATGTTATGCCCCTTGTATGGTTATAGACCCGCCATTGCGATCTCAGGTATCACAGGGTGGATCTTGCGGTGTGCACCCGATATCGCGACGTATCAGAGGCTGTGTCCTGTTCGTGACAGGTCGTTTCGACGTAGGTGTTCAGCGCGACGCGTCTTCGCGCACTGTAGACGCGAGCGAGATGCGCCACCGGTAGTCACGGCGAGCTGGAGTTTGTTCCAAAGGTTCGGCGTCCAATAGCGAGGATGGTTTGTCTGTATATCGTACGTCATTCGGCGGTGTGGAGGGGGGTTTGATGTCCTTTGGTGGTGTGCCTGCCCGAAGTGCCTGTCTTTCGCGCTAGCCTAGTCGTTAGCGCGACAGGTATCCCGCTCCAGGTCGTTTGCATCTCCATCACTTGTCTCATACACGAGCACATTCAGCCTATCACAAGATTGACTTACATCTGGCATCACTGAAATGTCTCAGTATTCCTGGCGGTCAGGCCTGAACGGCTGCCTTGACGCGTCCGATGGCGGCCCCATGTCCCAATTGCCTTCTCTTGGCACTCAGGTCGCCCGTCACCCATTGTTTGTAGTGACTGAGCCTTAATTCGCGGGTACCCGTTATTGTAATGACGAAACTCAAACTTGCGGTCACTGTCCATTTCAATCGACTCAACCTCCTGCTTCTGCGTTACTCAATTCGATCCTGCCGCGCCTGATCTCTGCCACTCTCGTACTCTTAGTCACCTCCCATCTCTGGACCTGACAAGTCGCTCACGAGTTCGGCGAGTCTTGCATGAAGATGTTACAGCTAAAACTACGGCCGTTCCCGATTCATCACTCTAATCGAACTCACCCACCCCGTGCCAGGCGCCAGCCGACATATCTCCCTTCGCACCTCGCCACAAATCCTACTATGGTTTCAGACAGCAAGCCGAGTTCTCATCTTATCGGCACAAACAACAACGCTAACACATCCCCTGTTCATCATGAGGCCTTGACAAGACTTCGCGAGGTCCTTCCCGATAATCTCTGGCCGGAGGTACGCCCAGCACTCTCAGAAGACGTATCGTTCGGCAAAGCAGAGCTTCAACACGGAAGGGTACTGGTCGGCTACGTCAACCCGGAACAGGGCCAGGGACAGGATACTGCGGAAGAACGCGCCTTGTGGGCACATCTCTGGAAGATCGATTGCAGAGGAGGTGCTGTACTGAGCTTCTATTACAACACCCAAGAGGAGCTCCGATGCGGCGAGCCAAAGTTCCGCAAGGTCGAGTTCCAGAAATGGTGTTGCATGATCGCTACAGACCAATCACCTGTAGGCTCCTCTGGTGGCGAATGGGAGAGACGCCTCAAGACGGTCGTAAAGATCGCTCTCCTTGGTAGTGGATATTTGAACCCAAAAGATTATACATTTCCAGACCTGGCGACAATTATTAGTGTCATCAACAAGCGCAAGCCTACCCACCAGGCCAGTTCTTCTTCAGTGCGAAACGCCAACGGCAAGCGTCCGTCGGAGGAAGACGACCTAGAGACATTCGTCGAACAGATCATGCAACCTGACTCTGAGGACGACTATCTGGATGGAGATAACGAGGAAGATGTGTCTCTGACAGAACCTAGCAGTACCGCTCACGCGCCTTCCACAAAGAAGTCTGGTATGACACCATCGCATGTACAAGAACTGCAGGAAGCATTTCCGCCTACAGTCTGGCCACGTGTCGAGGTCTGCAATGAAAACGTCGGCAAGATCTACCCCGGAAAAGTCTACCTTGGATCTCTGCCATCTGCTAAATCGCCGAGCGGTTCACCACAGGAGGTGTGGGCAAGGGTCAAAGGGAAGGCGTCCGCCAAAAGGTCTGGACACATTCTGTGCTACTGGAACAACGGCCGAACGGCAAACTTGAGGGATGGAGATCTCGTTAGTAAGATAGATTTCGACAAGCCTTTTCGATATCTTGGAGATCCTGAAGCACGCGAAACGAAGCAACACACACGTGATCCCTGGCGGGCTTTGGTAGCCGTTTGTGTACGGGCAGCGCTCGTCCACGCGGGACTGATTGACGGGGACGAGCTCTCAATCCAGGCAAAACCAGCACGAGTCGCAGAGATCATCCGTCAAAACCGGGAGAAGCTTGAGACCAGCACCGCAAAACCCGCTGATGTAGAAGCTTCGAGCGACGTCAATGCTTCATCCAGCATTGGTGTTCCTTCCAGTCCTCCAATCATCCCGATTGCAGACATGAGGCCCAAAAAGCGTCGTATGGACTCTGGTCACGAAGCTGGTGTTGATGCTGGAGATTCAGTCTCATTGGCCACGACACCAGCCCCGAGAGGATTTCCGGCCGTAAGCTCGGTAAGTCACTAAATAGCTCGTGTTACCCTTCTAACCCTCGATCAGATATCTCCATCAATACAGTGCCTCAGGAGGGCTCGTGAGACTGGGCCAGGGTCATCATCTTACGAGCTCGCCGCGTCCAAGAAGAAATGTGCAAATCTCGAAGCCGAAGCCCAGCGACAGAAGACGGAGAACGAACGGCTCCAGGCAGCCTGTAAAGAGAACACTGTTAGCGCGGAGTCTTTGCAAAGTGAGTTGGCCGCCGCCCGTGAGAAGATAGCGAAGCTGGAGCGAGATGGCGCGGAGCTACAAGCGGAGACGAACAGTCTCAGAAAGTTGAAGCAGGCGCATGTCAAACATGCTCAGCACATTTTACTCGAAGTCCTGGCTTTCGACATTGGTGAACGAGATGGCATCGATCCAGACACGGCAACACGAGATGCTCAGCGCCAGTATGTCGAGACCTACGGTATTGAAGTTGAAGGCGGAGCGCTGAGCGATATGGCTTGAGTGCGGCGGGAATTTCCGAGAACTCAGCGATCTTGGTGAAGCTGCTCTCATTTGATTCTTGCTTACTATGCGCAAAAGCTATGGTCCTTGGAAGCGCTTCGGCTGTTAGTCAGGCTCTATGTGCCTATACATGACACAGCCGATGCTATGAATGCAGTCTCTGGAGCACAATGAGCAGGCAATGGGGTTATATGTATTATATCTTTCTTTGCGGGTTGCGTTCCAAAAGTGTGCATTTACTGCTTCCTCTCTATCCACCATTAAGGCAGCACTTGGCTGGGCCTCTTTAGAGTGCCTCAGAATTGAGCAGGATGTGTCTAGGCATTTGTGTAGCCGACAAACGTTCTTTCGGTATAATTTGCGCATTACAGTGAATGCATTTCTCGTTTGTTATGATCTCCTAGGTAATCCGACGACGCTAGCCGCGTTAATGACGCAGTGCGCCCTCCCTTGTCTCCTACAACTTGTACTATATCGAGACTACGCTATCAATCTGATCACGCACAAGCACATCGGATATACAGTCGCAACAACACAGAGTCATCTCTGTAGCGCTATATTGTCCAAGTAGTTGGTATAGCCTAGAGACCAGGTAAGTCCCTTCTTTTCTCAGACGCAAAACAGCACCCAAACAGGCTCAAGTACTCTATGAACCACAGACAGTCGGCTCATCAAAGATGTAACACGATAGCAATTACTGACTACTACATAGATCAACTTACCCGCATGGCGCCCACAATTCAAGAGGTTCGCAGACTAGCGCATCGCGACATACAGTGTCTGCTGATAGAGGCTAACAACTACAACAGCCCACTAAAGATGTACGCATCAACAAAGCGGTACTCAAAGAGCAGCAAAACAAGCATCCGGCCGTCCTCGCGAAGCTACGCAACGCCATCCCAACCGACTACTATCCTACAGTAGAAGCCTCACAACAAGACATATACTATGGACGTCCATTCTACCCCGGCAAAGTTCTCCTCGGTACAAACGATGGTACTCGCGTGTGGGGCTATCTGCGCCGGATAATGAGTAATCACAAGACGACAATGGAAGTACACTACGAGGACAACCGCGGCGGCGACAATACGGATCATACACCGTTTGCGCAGTCTCAGTTCGTACCATGGTGTCGCCTTGTCGCAGATGACGCGTGTCCTCTTGGTACTGCAGCTTGGGAGGAGCGATTGAAGATAGTGATCAAGATCGTGATGTTGGAGGCTGGCTACTCGGAAGCCACAGTGTCTGGTATACCCGCTGATCTACTCGCATCGATACGGAAGAATGTCGAGAAGGGTCTGCACAACGTGTCGCAAGCAGCTAGGCCAAGTATATACTCGTCGGCGGGCCTAATAGCAGCTCCCGCTGCATCGGCTTCCGCCCCCGGCCATACTGCAGAGGGCAAAGACAGTATCGCACTTCATATGTCGAGGCTTAAATCGCAAAACATGACAGCGACAAACTGCATCAAGGCACTGAAAGACGTCATCCCTGCCGAACATTGGTTCCAGACGCGTCCCATGGCGACCAACATAGCACGAAAAGTCACCCTGCTAAACCCCGACGACAAGGAACACTTCGCCTTATTCCCTGGCAAAGTCCTCATAGGCCATCTCCGCGACACCGACAGTACACCAGTATGGGCAGCATTCCGCCGTCCCAGACGCACTGCCAAGATACAGACACCGCAGTGGCGCATGTGCTTCTTCGATGATAAGCTATTCGAGATCGAGCTGCCCGCGACCCTAAACGGTACCGTGGAGTTCGCGCCTGGGTTCCAGCTACTCACTGAGAGTAAAGACACCGTCGTTACACGTAAGGTCTGGCTTGCTAGAGTCGGTATGTGCGCACGTGTCGCGCTCATCGACGCTGGACTCCACGACGATGAGGGCTTTGCAACTCGGGGAGACGCACGGCCCAAGGAGCTGGTTGCAGTGATCAAGAAGGCGCGACTACGACGGACACTCCAGGGAGATGGACAGTTAGAAGCTCTGCCGCCGCCATACCGCAAGTCGTGGAAGAACCATACACCGGAGGCTTCTGCTGTGGATGCTACCGTGCGTGATCCAGTACAGGCGCCTACAGACACCCAACCCAGGAATGACGAACAGCAAGCACAATCGCCCCCGGAGGATCTCATCCAAGATCTCATCGAGATATCCGAAGACGAAGACGACATCATGGAATCAGGCTACCAGCTCCGCGCATCCAGTCCATGGCCCACTTTCCCGAAGCGCGAGCTCTTCACCCCGGCGCCCACCTCTACCGCTATGAACAAGAAACAAAAGATCGCTCCGTCCAACCGCACGTCTCTGCTCGACTTCATCAACCTGACTACTGCCATCGACACCCCGGATACCACTGCGCTCGAAAAACAGGTCCGCGCATTGACTGAAGCCAAGACATCTCTAGAAGAGACTGTCAACGATATGAAAGCACAGATCAGCGACTATAAGAAGAAGAATCGAGAGTTGCAGGTGTTCAAGGCCAAGCATGTTGAACACTGCCAAGCTGTGATGCTCAAGTTACTCACACAGAGGAATGTGCGGAATGGAAGTAGTGAGGTGGATGCGGAGAGGGACGCGAAGACGGAGTATACTCAGGTCTACGGTATTGCTATTGTGGAGGACATTGGAGAGGACTGAGAGGGCTACTGTCGATTGGGTGGATGTAAAGAGTTTGGTTTGATGTCATGGGAGCGTAATGTTTTGGTCAGAGAGGTGTATTGGGAACGTAGTGTTTTGTTTACAGGGGTCTCAGCTCAGAACCCACCAAGACCATCGTCGCTGTCTTCGTAGTCGTAAGACCAGTTATGATCAGCGTCTCTTTCCACCCGTTCTTCTTTACTACCCGTCAACTCCTTCCACTCCCGTTCCTCCACCGCTTTCCCCAGCCCAATAGATAACTGCAAATCCCCGTCCTCACCATCAAGCGCATGGTAGCTCCACACATAGTCCACATCCGAAATACAATGTGGTTCATTCACGGCGCCTATGCGGCATTTTACTTTCAGTAGCTCGACTGCGACGACTGAACCTTCTTCGCCAGGGGAGGCCATGTTAGATGCCGAGTCTATCCGGCGGAAGGGTAGTTGGACTTGTTGCGTTTGCGGGGTTTCCGTAGCCTCGGTTATGGGCTCGTGTGACACGGTCGCACGCTTGTGGCTTGGAGATTTGGAAGTTTGGAGGCCGGTGACGAAGTAGATTGGCTTGTGTTGTTGCGATAGTTTGCGGAGGAAGTCTTGTGTGTTGGTGTCGTTGCGTAAGGTGTCGAAGACTTGTGATGGTTCGGTGACGCTGACGTGCAATGTAGATGTAGCATCCTCTTGTTTTGAGCGGGTCACCTTCTGTGTGAGCTCGGAAGATAATGAAGGCTTGATGGAGTCGGAGGCGGCGCTCAAAGGGTTGGTAGTGATCTGCCCGAGCGTGATGGATGTTGATGGCAGTGGTTCTGGGAGGTGTAGAATCGACATTTTTGAGACAGATCTGTATGAGAATTGCGGCTAAGCTGGGTATCTTGGGTTGATGGAAAAGAGTGTAGGTGAGACTAAGATGGGGAGATGCAGGACAGTCAAATACAAGCGCTGGCCAGGACCAGCGGTGAAGTTATGTTTCGACGCTGTGGACTTGGCCCAGTCTTCAATCGCACCATGACATAACTGCTGATGCTGTTGCGTTAGCATAACGTCTCTGCGCTTGATGCTAGTTCAGTGTGACGTGTGCCATTCGTTGTCGCCCTGTCGTCGGTCGTACGGGAAGGGATGATCATTCGGCGCGAGAGTATAGCTCGGCTAACAAAGGGCTACGAGGCCCAGTCTTTGCTCCACCAAGGGTTAAGTTACTCAATTGGCGAACAAAGCCCGCAAACTTGCGATTGCGTTACTAAGAAGCAGCCGGGGTGGTCTGATGGAGATCGGCTGACTTGTTCCTGAGTGCGATCCGACCTCGGGCTCGGAAGGCTAGATTGCATGCATCAGCGGGAGGACGCGGAGCCGCATGCTAAGATTTTCCATAGATCTTTGAAGACAATTTCGCAAGGAGCTGCATAGCCATTGAAATTTTCGTGAAGAGATGCCACACGGAGCCTAATATGCCGTGGGTATCTCGTAAGGTCAAAGACTCCACATCTTGCGTGCAACCTTCCGGAACCAGTAGAACAACAGCTATCGCACTGGCAAGAACGCTCGCGTGTCAATATACGACGATAACGAAGGATGGAGATGGAGATTGCTGATAACGGATGTGTGCTATAGTGAGCCGCTGCCTCGGGATGGTTTGCAAAGGATGAGGGGTGATTCGTCATGTGAAGGGCTGACTAAGGACGAAACGTGGCGTCGTGGCGCGTGGGCGTGGGCTGGCGTGACGCGATCGACATGACACGCTCTTGGACGTGACATTTGCCCTTGGTAATATATGCGTCGCGCTTGCCGTCATTGCACCGTTGTCGCCTACAATAGACCGTCGCTCGTCCGTCCTTGATATGGAGATGAAGCTGGGTCGGATGACTGGGATGGTCGGCCATGAATGTCGCTGCTTTCGGCAGCGGGCGGAAAGCTGACACTGCCACACTGCGGGAGGAGCATGTACCGTAAACATGACAACGCCAACTTTCGGGCCACTTTTGCAGCCCATACACCTACCAATTCCTACGGCTAGCCTGCCATGGCAGAGACATCCATAGCCCCTACCCACCACCAGCGTCGCCAGAGTGCCCTCGCCGACATACAATTCGCCTCTATCGTCGACGATGACCTCACACCCTCCGAAGACGAGTCGCCGGAGGAAAGCGCGTTCGGGCTCGAGACAGCACAGTCAGCAATTGGAGTCAGCATAGGAAAGCAGCAGACGCGTCTGACTTCGCCGAAAACGCCGGCTGCGGAAAAGGCTGCTGCCCTAGAGGACACGGAAGACGGAGCCTTTTTCGAGGGCTGGCAGGAAGCTACCGATGCCACACCGGAACTGAGAAAGACGACACCGCGTCCAGAACCGAGCAAAGATGTTCAGAGAGCTGACGTGAGGCCGAAACCCACGCACACATCGAGCAATGACGACCGCGAGCGGCAATCCGACCCTCAAACGCGACTTCCTTCACCATGGCGAGCAGGTCCGAAGACATTCCACAAGGAGAAGGCGGGCGACCATCGAGCTACACTCCGCGAACACCTACAGATTGGAAGACGGCGGGCATCCTCGAGCGGCTCCATGGGGGACACGATGCGCAAATACATGCCCTTCACTCTGCCCACGTCTATCACCAAATCCTACAAAGACATGCACTTCTCGCTGCCGAGTCTTTCCGCACTCTCGCTCGATACAGAGAAACCACGCACCTCTGACAGGAGGAGAAGAGATACCTTCGCCAGCAGTGGACCAGCCCGAGACATACCACAACAGGATGGAGCCAGCCATTCCACACCCAAAGAGTCGAGGAGCGCATCGAGGAGCCTCGTACAGGTACCACAACATCCCAATACCGCTCCGATACCCCAACGAGAGTTCAGCGACGAGAGCACCGATACCCTTCAACCGTCCCCTAAGATATCGAGCGACCGACCGGCGCCTAAGTTACGGCGGTCCAATTCCGAAGGCTCTTTGCTCGTATACCGCACAAGGTCTTTTGCGTCTTCGCTTGGCGACGACACGCGCTTCGAGAGCGTCCAAGAGCAGGTCAACAGTAGGCTGAAGGCCCTCAGAGACAGCTGGCAAGACTCGAATTTCAAGCTGCCAAGCCCCTCGTTCCCAAACTTCAACCTATCGTCCAGCAGCGAGATATTCAAAACCCGCAATGCCAGTATAGCGTCTAGACTCCGCGAAACCGACAACGTCCGCGCAAACGAGCCTGCACCGGCAGCACGTCGCGACTCGACAAGGAAGAAGCGCCTGCCGTCAAAGGGTGGGGACAGCGACTTTGAGCCACATCCATACTTCACACAGGCTTTGCAAGAGCTTGAGGGGGACTTGGTCGTGTTGGGAGGCTATCGAGGATCCATCTTGCGCTCTGCAGAACCGCCCCATCGACAGCTCTGGGTGCCCATAAAAGTCGGGTTGAACCTACGCAAGGTAGACTTGGAGGTACCTTTGGACCCAGATGCGGATGAGCGCATGGAGGAGAGCATTATACCCAGCGGCATGCTGACCCATATTGGCCCCGTCGATATAGCCAAGCGCCTATTCAAGCGTCTGAATGCATGCGATAATGTCAAGGATGGTATACTCAGGGTCCACAACTACGGTTACGACTGGCGGCTCTCTCCGCACTTCCTAAGTCGGCGGATGATACAATTCTTAGAGTCGCTGCCCTGTAATCAGCCAGGCGTCCCTCCAGAAAAGCGTGGCGCCGTTATCGTCGCACACTCATTAGGCGGCTTGATCACGCGTCATGCTATCAACCAGCGTCCTGATCTAGTAGCCGGTGTTGTATATGCCGGTGTGCCTCAACGCTGCGTGAATATCCTCGGTCCATTCCGCAACGGCGACGATGTCCTCTTCTCCTCACGCGTGCTAACAGCACAAGTAAACTTTAGCATCCGAACATCCTACGCTCTTCTGCCTCTCGATGGAAAGTGCTTCATCAACAAGCGCACGAAGGAAGAGTATCCTGTAGACTTCTTCGACGTCAATACCTGGAAAGAACACCGCCTCTCACCATGTATAGCAGCACCTCTGCCCCGCCCCGAACAACCCAAAGACAGCAACTTCAGCGTTAGTGGCCTGATGAACGCCGTCTCCTCATCACTCCCCACCTTCTCCACTCGCAAAAGCAGCACCGCAAAAGACGCAGCCGACGTAGCTCGTAACGCCGCGAACAATGTCACAGAAGGAAGCGCTGAACAAGCAGGCATGGGACCACAGATGGGCCACGAACACAACATCGAGACCTCCAAAGAGCCGAACCCTGCAACCGATGTCACAATTCCCTACGACAAAGCCGTGGAGTATCTCGCACGAACCCTCGCTGAAGTCAAAGCGTTCAAACAAGAACTCGACCACCGCCCAGAACACACGACGTCGAACGCATACCCACCCATCGCACTCATCTACGGCAAATCCACACCAACGGTATATGGCGCAAAGGTAGAAAGCAAAGAAGCCATCAAACGCGCAGACGTGTATGATGAGCTTGCCTTTGCAAGTGGCGACGGTGTGGTACTCGCTCGTGCGGCTATGGTGCCTACTGGATATAGTGTGGTTCGGGGCGGTGTCGTTTCCAGCGACCGCGGTCACGTCACACTTCTGGGTGATTTGGAGGCTGTAGGGCGGTGTCTTTGTGCTGTTATCCATGCAAGGAGGAATGGCGTTGGGATGGGGGCTGGGGCGCGGTGAGATTATAGAGGCGCCTATACATCTCTACCTAGAGTCAATGAGATTAGATCGAGTTCATGGACATAGTGCTTCGTTTCTTGTTATGTGTGGATTTGTACTTGTACTTCGATGCAATATATCTGTGCTACGTAAAGGCGGTAGTTTTCTTAGGCAAAGTTCATGATCCTCACGCCAGAAGTCTCAACAGCCCTGACAAAACCGCACGCCTCACGACCGCCATCACACAATCTTGCCGCAACAAACAACAAAACTGCGCTGGTCTTCGCCAAGCCATCTGCCCTTTCCCAACCGTCGCGTTCCTCGTGTGTCTCCATCGGCCCTTC